CCACTTTCACTAAATCAGAAACCTTACATATATCGTTAATGTATAATATAAATAATTTAGGTCCCAAAACTGAACCCTGAGGCACTCCACATACAATATCCAGTTCACTCGATTGGTATTCACCCAACTTCACAAATTGTGTCAAATAACTTTTAATCCATTTCAGAACCATTCCTCTGATCCCATATTTTTCTAACTTGTCCATTAATAACCCATGATTGATTGTTTCAAATGCTTTTTTTTAGGTCAATAAATATCCCCATCGTGTATTTCTTCTCATCCATAGCACTTGTAATGTCCTCCATCAGGTCGGTAATGGCCAAAGATGTCGATCGGTTCGACCTAAAACCGTATTGGCAATCAGAGAGGATTTTAGGTTTGTCAATAAATGTATCTAATCTGTTATTAAAGAGTTTTTCCAGAACTTAATCAGGGTACGTCTCTCAACCTTTGCATTGCACATTGTGTCAGTATCCAATGACATACTAGTGTTGCTGTGGTATTTTGCATAAATTAAAGCTTTTATTTGATCACTTAAAAACACATATTCCATGAGGATTTTTTCTGAAAATTTAGAAGAGCACTATACAGTGACAGTAGAGTTGATCAACAGAAGTTATTTTGATAACGGAGCTCTTGGTAATATTCTTAAGGAAAAATACTAAACGTTTTCTAGCCTAACTGAGGATTTGATGAAGCTCTTTGTCATGCATGATGTTGAACTGATTATCTTTGGGGTTTGGGCTATGGGAAATCACTCTTCACTATTTTCTGACATTTTAAAAAAGAAATAAAATTGATTGATGGTGAAAATAATCATTAGATTCTAGTCCCTGTAACTTATCGGTATGATGGACCAGATTGGGTCATGGGTTGAAATGCACGTTTAGGTACCTCAGTGTGGCTATTTGGATGGTTTTATTCTTTTCCAGCAGAATAAAACTGGATTAAAGGTTTGAGAATCAATCCCTGGAAACATCCAGTACAGCAGTGGTCCCCAACCCCCGGGCCGCGGACCGGTACCGGTCCGTGGATCAATTGGTACCGGGCCGTACAAGAAATTATTAATTATTTCCGTTTTATTTATTATCTGAGTATGAACGATCTTTTATTTTGAAAAATGACCGCATTCTCTCGGTTACATCTCGGTCACTTGAGCGCCAAAACTGGCTTACTTGTGGACATATTCAGCCTGCTCAATGAACTCAATCTGTCACTTCAGGGGAAAATGACAACTGTCTTCAAGTTGGCAGATAAAGTAGCTGCATTTAAAGCCAAACTGGATTTGTGGGGACGGCACGTCAACAGAGGCATTTTGGACATGTTTCAAACATGAGACTTTGGGTGAGACTGAGCCTGAGTCTTCATTCTCCCAGCTGGTGCACGATCACCGGTCTTTTCTTATAAAAGAGTTCGAGCGCTACTTCCCAACCACAAAGGACCCACGAACTGCCAAGGAAGGGATCCGCAACCAATTTGTCAACAAACCAGGTGAATCCAGCAGGTCTGTGCAAGAAGAAGATCAACTGCAATCTTCCTCCCCCCCCCCCCCATTTGACTTGTCTCCCATGCTTTGTCTAGGGTCGTCTCTTCTCCTACCCAGACACCCATCGACACCGGCTGGGAGCCAACTACCTGCAGATCCCTGTCAACTGCCCATACAGGGCCCGTGTGGCCAACTACCAGCGTGACGGTCCGATGTGCGTATTTGATAATCAAGGTAGGTCGTAGTCCAGCCTGTGTGTCTGGTTCCTTTGTGGAGGTTCTATTTCATACAAAACAATGCAGTGTATTTAATGAGTGGCTATTGTTTAGGCTAACTTTGATCACAACAGAAAATGCACCAAGATTTGGGTGGTTTACCAACTAAAGCTAAACAAAATCTTGGGGGCAAGTGAATACTGAAGCATTTTTGTTTTATAACAATTACTGTAGTTAAATAATTAAGATAATGATAAACACATACAGTGAGGAACAGAAGTATTTGAACACCCTGCAATTTTGCAAGTTCTCACTGATGATAAGAAAGGTGAGGAATCAGCCCAGAACTACAAGGGAGGAGCTGGTCAATGACATGAAGAGAGCTGGGACCACAGTTTCAAAGGTCACTGTCGGTAGAACACTACGCCGTCATGGTTTCAAATCATGCATTGCACGGAAGGTTCCCCTGCTCAAGTCATCACATGTCCAGGCCCATCTGAAGTTTGCCAAAGACCATCTGGATGATCCAGAGGAGGCATGGGAGAAAGTC